GGGATACTTACCCGTAGATCGGGGTGTTCCCTTCTCAGGAAGGAAGAGTTTGGGGCCCGCTGGGAGGAGCTCGGGAGTCCTCGCTTGAAGGGAGCTCGGGACGCTCCTCCCTTAGGGAGAATTCGGGGTAAACTGAATGCTTCTTCTCGGCGAGTTGCCACGCCCACCGAGTTGAAACGCCGGGTTCCGGCGAGTTCATTACGCCAAGTTATGGCCAGGCTGCCACGCTGAGTTGTCACTTATGCCAAGTTGTACCCACGTGTCCCCGTGCTACGAGGTCGGGCCAAATCACCCTCCATCAGTTACGATTTTGTTCTTGTAGTTGATTATGAGAATGGATATTTACAACAACAACAACAACAACAATAATAATAATAATAATAATAATAATAATAATAATAATAATAATAATAATAATAATAATAATAAAATTTACATTAAATAATAACATAATAAAATAACAATAAAAAATTTAAATAATAATATTTTAATATTGTTCTAGTTTTTCTAATAATATGTTAATAATAAAAGAATATTATCAAAACAATAATAATAATATTAAAAGAATATTTTGGTGTTATTATTTATTAAATTATAATAAAGTATCATACATGTGTGTTATTAATAAAAAATAATTAATAAAATGCACGAAGGGCAAGGACAGAAAATAAGAATGTGGCCAAGTTTGATGTTTAAAGTTTGAAAATAAGAGGTATTAAAAGAATGGTTAGAAGTCTAAAGAATTTAACTTTATTAACGTTGTGTAAATTAAGTAAAATAGTGGGAAACTGGGAACTGGGAAAACTGTTCAACATCAACTGTTTAATACTTCAAGTATGTGCAGAAAGATATGAGTCCTCTTTGGTCTTTATTCTAGACTTTTAGTACCCACGTTGATCTGTATATTAAGTTGTTAACATGAGCAGCCAAAGAAAGGAGTTCTTTTTCCTCCTCATAGTTCACTTGAAGAAATTGTACATCGGGGTTCATCTCTGCAAATTGACATACCTGTATAAAGAAAAAGAACAAAACAAAAGTCTGGATTTAAGCCCGTGAAACCCTTTTCTTTGATTTTGGTATCGAGTTTCAACTTTGGAAGAAACAAATAAAGAAAAGAGTGGCACTGATATTTGCTTCCTTATGATGAATAATGGTAGAGATTAATCATACCTTCGGATGGAAAGCTTTGCATCCTCCACAGCTTGGAGAGAAGAAGCCCACAATAACAAAGTTTATCTCTTGCTATGGATTGGGGTTTAAAGGGTTGGAAGATTATGAGAGTCAATGTTCTTTTGGTGTTTTTCTCTTCTTGAGATGATGGATTTCGAACATGGCTCCTCTCCGAGTCATCTATCTTGAGGCCGATTGGGCGTTTTGTTGAGTTTAAAGCGGGGTTATTTAAGTAATATTGTATATAAAACAATTTACAAAGAGCAAAATTGATATATATATATAAGGGAGGTTTTTGTTAAGTTTCTCAAAAGTTCAGAGGAGGTGTTTGTTACAATGAAACAATGGAGATCTTCAGGGGAAATTTTTGTATTTTACCCTTAATTTATACCATATAAAACAGATATTTGCCTTGATTTACATGTAGATCATAAAAATAAAATCCAAATATTTATTAACACACGTACCTAACATGCATATCCAGTTGTTAGTTATCTTGCCTTATCTATAAAAATTAAAGGGATGCTATCTCGCTCTCAAGTCGATTTCAAGTATCAATTCCATATGCCCTTGTTTGGTTGACAAGATTACACGTATCAAAGTTAGTTGATTGCCATTAAATGGAGAAGACAAGACTGAAAGGAAAAATAACATGTTGTTTTATGAAAAATAAATCAAAACAAATCACGTACCAAGTGCAAATACATCTTTTAAATAACTTAAACGTGCAACTGTGCAAACAAATCCTTCAACACAGTTGGTCACGTAAATATGAATAGACCAGGCGTCAGTTGAAGTGTAAATCTAGGCGTGTGTAGCAATAATTTACTTGAATTTGATCTTTTTCCATTTTGAATTCCTAATTCCTTCATATCTAGAAGTGAAACGTTTGTATCAAACTATATAATTTCAAAGGTGTAGTTTGTATGAATGCAAATGCTGAATATAAATGAATTTGTATTAATTTTGGTTCGGTTTTGCGGTCATTGTTTTTATTTAGGCTTGGTTTGGTAAGAGTATGAATATAAATATGTATTGTATAAATACATACAAAATATAAGATTTTGTACTCTACATATTTGTATTTATACTCACCGAGGCTTAAGCTTAGTTTGGAAGGAATACAGATGCAAATATGTAGAATACAAAGCCTTATATTTTGTATTATTTTGCATGCATTTGTACTGTATATATTTGTATTTATATATACTCTTTCCAAACTGAGCTTTAAGCTCACTTTTGAAAGAATATAAATACAAATATGTAATACATACAAAATAATACAAAGTATAAGGTTTTGCATTCTACATATTTGTATTTTTGGTACTCCTTCCAATATATCTGAGCCTTAAAATTTTGCATCCAAAGTTTGGTCAAGTTGAATTCAGATCTTAAAATTCATGTTAGTACCCATCACAACCAAATATATTTGATAAGAATACAAAATTTATAAACCAAACAAAGTATATTTTTATAAACCAAATATATTTGCACGTGTGTTCTTGCAAAATGCAGCCTAAAAAGATAGGTGGTGAGGCCATATTTTTAGACCCATAAGTAATAAACATTGAAAAAAAGGGTAAAAGATGAATTGGGTGAAGTAATGGGTTTCATTGTACAACCTGAGTTCCATTAGGACATCCCGACCTTGTATTCAGAACATCTCTTGATGATGTTACGTCACCTTTCATACTTGTCATCGAGAAATGTTTCCCATGTAAGGTCGAGATGTGATGTGGGGCGCTGATGTGATCTTGTGCAACCTGCTTTAATTCGGCCATGTGGGAGGATGATGTGACTAACGACTAATCTAAGCCATACTTTAAGGAGGTAGGGAAGAGTTCAAATCAGCCCCCCACCACAACACTGTCTCCCATAATGTCTCACAGTACATTCCTGTCATGTACATTTTCCCATGATATACCAGGAATGATGATGTCATCATTAAGAGATGTTCCCTATACACGGCAGGAATGTGTTGTGGGACATTGTGGGGGGCTGATTTGGTAACCCCTTGAGATAAGATGGCCACTTGTTCATTCATACAACCTACATCAGCCTTAAGGGTGAGCATTATTCATACAACCTTTTTTTTTTGTTTTTTGGTTAAATCGATCCGGTTTTTGGCTATTTCGGTTTTCGGCTTCGGTTTTTGGAATTAGAATTTCGGTTAATTGAATTAATCAAACTTTTTATTATTATATGTAACATATAATATATATATATATATATATATATATATATAATATACTGAAATTTGATTTCATAATATATAGTATATATTATATATTATAATATATGTAATAGAGTTTATATTATTAAAATTTGGTTTTAACCAAAAATTTTGGTTTTTATTTTTTTAATTTGGTTTTTAAAATTTTGATTTATTCAATTTGGTTTTTAACCGAATAAACCGAATGCTCACCCCTAACAGCCCTATTCTCCCACATTTTATTAGGGTATGTTTGGTTTTCAGTCAGAATAGGAATCAAAATCAGAATGGAAATTCTTTGGAATCAGAATTAGAATTAGAATCAATTGGAATAGATTTTCATCCTTGGGAGGATGAGAGAATAGTCATTCCCTCAAAAGGGGAATAAATTTTAAATAGTAAAGGGTTGATCCAAAACAAACAAATATGAATTTAGAGCCTCTAAAAAGTAAAAAAGCACCTATGCTTCTTTTTAAATTTTAGACAAAAAATATCTTTTTAACTTTTCAGATCTGAAATTTTCAGATTTATTAAATGCCACCTTAATGTTTACTACAAATAATATTGACCATTAAATTACCCAAAGCACGCCTGTAGTGTGGGTAGGAATGTGCGAAGAGCCTGTGTGTGGATAATAGATCCCAAGATCAGGCTCATTTAGCTAAAATGAGCACTCCCAAAATTGTTAATGGGAGATGTTCTCAATACACCGCTAGGATATGCTATGGGGTGTCCTCTGTGGGCTTTATATGCGAATTCTACTCATCATGAAAAAATATTGACTTTGACTTTTCTGGACCAAAATTCTAATTTTTCGGGCTTGACTTGATCAGATCTTACAGAGTTACAGAATGAACAAAACCTAGGCCGCGTCGATAAATCCGATTCAAAAACGAGTGCCTGCAGCCGGGAAATATTGCTTCTTCGTTTCCTCCTCTTTATGGGTTTGTCCAGTGATTCTTCTTTCATCCGCCTTGTTCAGGATGGCGATTAGAATACACGTTTTTTGTAATTCTAGAAACTATGATCTGAGTCATCAAGAATATGGGATATATGAACTAAAAGATTTCTGATATCTTGACCGAAATGCAATATATTTGCATCATCATCTTTGAAGGGTCTGTAAAATTTTTCTTCAGTTTTTAATTATTCCTTTGAAACAAAGTAAATAAACAAGCTTCACATGACGGCAAGGGATTTTTTTTTTTTTTTTTTGATTCAAAGACGTCAAGAGATCGGGACCTTGAAAAAGAAGAGATTGTATTGGGAGACTTATCAAATAATCCATCTTCATCAAGTGGGTTACATACTCATCAGTTGAAAACTTTGAAATGCAATTTCATTGCACTTTAATAAAACCATCATCGGTGTAGCATCATCACTCAAAATCGTAAAATACAATATTATTTATCAGGGATTGCTTGTTTTGCAACAGTTAACCGCACATGATGGCATGAATATGTACATTGCAGAATGCAAGCCATGCAAAGAGATTGAATACCAACCTAACTCAACCCAAGTCAAGTTTTCATTCTTGACCAGAGATCGATGGAAGTGAAAAAAGAAAAGAAAAGAAAAGAAAAAAAAAAAAGTAGGAGAAATTAACCAATTAAGTTCATCAGCTTTTGCCGTGTCTATGTTTTCTGGGTGATGATTCTTTCATCACCCCAAAATGCTTAATCTTTGGAGATGATGGGGATCCGTCACTGATAATCTTCTTCTCACTCAACTTTCTCACATAATCTTTCTTCTTCATAGACCTCCTCAAATTCGAGTGTCTGTCCGTTATAGTAGGCACCAAGTACCACAGAAGAGATGCGCAGATTATTGCGAACGATCTCCCAAACATCAAACACAAGAGAATCAGAATTATAACTATGGGCAGATAATATGAAGGTCTTCTCCACCGATCAATCTCTAGACTCCATGAGAAGCATCTTGTGTCCTTCTTCGCTCTTCTATGATCCGTCGCCTCTTGCCGTGATGGTTGTTCAGGGACCTCTCTGGGGTTAGCCGAGGGCTCAACCGGATGAGGAGACTTGACCAAGGCTTCTGAGTTCTGTTTGGACACAGGCTTATCATCATTTTTTGCAGCAACAAGCTTGAGTTTGTCTTGCTTGGGATTTCTCAACTTCACCACAATCGGCACCCAGTCGTTTGTGTTGGAATAGACGAAGCGAACAACTGGAATGTCTTGGGAGCCCATCTGTGCGTAAATCTTCTCTCTCCTTCCCTGAAGATCTTCCAAAAGCGTAGAGAACTTATCGAGCCCACGCTTGGAATAAGGGTTCTTGTTCTTGTGGTTGCTCCTGCAGAAGCTGCTACTTCTTCTTGTCTTCCTGGGCGTCGAAGAAGGGACGACGACGTATGAATCATCTTCGTCTTCTTCGACTTGTTGATGATGAAAACTGCCACAAATAAAGGGATTAAACATCTGAAGCCTGACTCTGATCCTGAAAGAAAATCAACTTCTTGCGGTTTGAGTTGGAGAGAGACGATAGCATTTAAAGGGTGAGGTGGGAAAACCGGAATTAACGATGATCCCTTTTATTTTTCAAACCAAATGTGATCATGATGGATTGACTTGACAAGAGAATTCTAATTCATCGAGGATTTGAACCAGTCCATGATCCGTTGATTCATATTACTTGATTTATTAAATCAAATTTCTAATGTTTTTCCATATTAACTGCTTCTAGAAGGTCTATGTCAGCTTTGCAGCCGCTGTGTTGTAACGTTTTCATCTTTATCCTGGTTAGGCGAAAGCAATTGGATAGGAATCTTGTTAACTCACACTCGCTCAGGTGCCAGGATGACGATTTTAACGAGATCTGCTTCTACCAGGGCAAATCTGTGCCCATACCATTCTAACACTTTTGTAACCTTGCAATGGGAATTTCTCCCCATGAAATAAAGCACACAAGTGTTTACCGAACTCCAGGATAACCGGTGGATTGTAAGAGAGAGTATTAAGAGAGTATTCACATTCAGTATTTTTATTTCTTTTCTGTGTTTATTTTTCAAATTTTCTCTTCATATGAATAAATATCCTAGACGTTTCCAATCAATCTCTCAAACGTAAAGTTGGAACTTAAATTCTCATTGTTTTTGTAGTTCATAAAAGTTTGTATAGTGTTTTTTTGGACATTTTATACCTGTTTTTTAGAAGATTCTACCAAAAGGGGTTTACTTACAACTGCATCAAAAAATCCAAGAGAGGTGATTACAATTACTAAACTTCAGAGGAGGTTTGAGTAATTTACCCTTGTTACATCGTTCACTTCATGGATCATCTATCTACATATACTATACAAAAGGGAATACTTGTCCAAGGTTCTGTAGAGGTTATAAAAGCTAAATTCAAATGCCATATATCAAATGCTTACACTAATACTATATAAAAGAGAGGATATTTGTGTTATAGGTGATAACAGTTAGATTCAAGCCTCATGTGTAAAATAAAAAGAATTACATATTTTAGAATAGAAGGGTAAGGACTAAGGAGAGAGAGAGGAATGGTGGTGAGACCTGTTTGGAAGAACACATTTTTTTTTTTTTTGCACCAAGGATTGACTGGCGACTAGTTATTCACAGGTGTGTTCACATGTACAAGAACAACTTCCAAAATATCGCAAGCATAGTTTTGAAAATTGGACTGGCTCTGTTTCACCTAAAACCATTCATGGTCCAAAAACCGTTGACATGATCAGCAATCCACTGACCTGAGCGATCAATCCATCAACCTAGACAATGATTTTTGACCATTTTTATTTTAATTAATTTTAAATCAAAATAAGTCGTCTGTTCAAATCAAATCTGATGGTTGGACCATTTGATTGAGGAATCGGTGGCCAAAATGATTTCATGTCTAATCTAATTTTTAAAACCTTGATCGCAAGTGAAAATTTATATAGAAAGAAAAAAAAACCAACTGTAATATCATTTATGATAGAAGGGGCAGACACAAATAGATTGTTGATTTGGTAACGGCATTAAAAATGATGATTATGGGACTCCATGGTAAAAAATGAAAGAAGGAAAGAACAACTCTGGGTCAGATCCATTATCCCCTTCTAGAACAATTGTATTGAAATCTTTTACCTTTCAGAATTAAATAAATAAATAAGCCAGAAAATTTCCACATTGATGACATGATAGAGGGTCTAAAGGGCTCCACGTGTTCCACCGTGGATCCAGTGGTTACGAGATAAAAAGCTTTTGTCATGTGTGCGGGACCAAGGCTCCCCGTGAATTGAAAAAGATTGAAAACTATGCATGGGATGACATTAATTGATGTCTTCTAGAAAACCTCCAATACTGGTTGCACAGGGGGAGTTCGACAATGTAAAATATAGCGTACAAATGTACAATCGAACATCTTTCATATAAGATAGAGAACTAGAAATTAATTGGCAAACTACCGATTTGTTATTGGTGCCTGAAGACAGAAGTACATCAATCAATGAAGGTTACAGACTACATCAATAACAATTGCCAATAGTTCATGTCTCTCGCCTCACAATCACAACCCACCAATGGTTCCCATCATTCGATGGGTTTCTTCTTCTTCTTCTTCCATAACCCTCTCCAACGCTGGTACATGTGGAATTCAATCAAAGTCTGCTACAATTAATCAGTTAGCACTTTGGGAGAGTTGAACAAAAGGGTATCAATGTAATCTTGCAAACATAACTATTAATAATTTTTTAAGGACAAACATCTGATAGGTCTTTAGAGGTATTGAAAAGTCAGAATAAATTTAAGAGAAAATAAGAAAAGTGGAGAGTATTTGAGATGATAAGCAAAAAAATGTTTACTGCATGATTTATCTTGTCTGAGTCCATCGCTAAGTGTCTTGGACTTTTATAGGTCCAGGATAAGGCTAATTCACCGCAGAATGTCGTTACTTGCCTGAGATACGCAAGATAGATAAAGAAAATATCTATGACAAGTACCCTTCTAGAAAGAATCAAATTGTGCAATGAAAGCCGTAAGATACATGTGTAACTTACATCTTAAAAAATTTTGCATCTTACAAGACTCAAACCAAGGCTTACGTGCAACTTAAGATGCTTAGCAATTTAAGCCACTAAGTCATCTTGCAATTTGTAATGGTAAATGTTGTTATTATTGTTATTATAAAATATAATCTGAATAAATGTCATATCTCTATATTAAACAGTTCCAACATAAAATTAAATAGAATAATATTAAAATTTAATATTTATAAATATAAATAAAATAAATAATCTACCGATTTTATATTTATATCAAAAATTGATTTTTTTACTCAATAAATTTATACAAATAAAAAGATTAATAGTAGAATAATTATTTTAGTACTTAAATTCATATATTGTACAATTTTAATATATTTTTGTAAATTATTAATTGATATTTTAATTTACACTAAATAATAGCATATTTTATTATTTATAAAAATAAAAAAAAATTGTTTAAAAAATATTCAAGCATATAATATTATATTGAATCTATTAAATACACTAATTTAAATTTATATAAAAATTATTTATTATTTCAGAAAATTTATTGAAATAAAAGTGTTAATAATGGAATAATCATTTTAGTAATTAAGAGTTATGAATTTGCAATATTATGTGCTTTTAAAAATTTTAATATATACATATGTAATATTTTAAGTTAACATTATATATTTTATAAATTATCAATTAATATTTTGATTTTATAATAACATATTTATTATTTACAAAAAAATAAAAATATTGTTTATCAAACATTTCAAAATTTAATATTTGGTTGACTTTTTTTCTGTTAATTGAAAAGTAAAAATATTAAAATGAAAAATAATTAATATAGTAATTAAAATATAATAGCATTTATTTGTATCTTTGAATTAAATAAAATAAATATAATAATGGTTTTATGCATGCATTAATTTGTAAAGATCTATATAATATGAGTCTTAGACTTCTAATTGATGGATTATCAACAAAGTTGTTTGATATCTATGCATCCTATAATATTAATTGTAATATATTCCTTTATATATACCATTAAAATATACATTTATTATCTTTTATATCTTATTTGTAGCTATTTTGACCTTAAAGCTAGTGTAGTTGATGTATTTACGAAATTTGTATCTATTTTCTTAGCATATCCATGTATTTTTATATCTTTCACTTGTATCCATGTGTTTTCAAAGCATATCCGTTCCGTATTTGTATCCAAGTTGTCTGATATGATACTCGACATTGATACTTTGATTCTTGTGTGTGTGTGTGTGTATATATATATGCAATGTGCCAAGCTGGTTCTATGTTTTATTCTAAAAGCCACTTATCTCTTTATTGGTTTCTTCTCAAAGGTACTTATTTTTTTCTAATTCTTTGAACTCTTTAATATTAAAATTTAACAAAAATAACTCAAGTGACCAATCATCTTTAGGAGTCTTAACACTCTTCAAAACACTGTTCTATCTCTCTCTCTCTCTCTCTCTCTCTCTCTCTCTCTCTCTCTCTCTCCCATTAACTCTTTCAATAATCTCTCATTAATTATGCCAATAACTCGCTCCTTCAATAACTCATGCCATTAATAATCTCTCATTGATGTACAACATTTCACATGTTAATTTAGTGTTTTTGTTTTTTGGTTGACAAAAAAAAAAAAAAAAAACCATGCCACTAATTCTCTCTCATCTCCATTACTCTATTAAATTGCATAAAATTCATAAAATTTATCTATATATCATTTCAATTTAACTATATATATATATATATAGTTAAACCTTAATTATCAGTAAAAATTAATTATATTGAAATTGAGATATTCAAGGATATATTATTTCACTAAATAATCTACTTCCACTTAAAATTATAATTCATTTATATTCCATTTAAAAATAATAAAAATTAATTAACCATAATAAAAATAAATTATTAAGTCACTTAAATAAAATTAATTTAATTAATAAAAAGGAAAAAGATAAATTAAAAACGAATATCAATTTAAAATTAATATAAAACTAATACAAAATTATCTAACAATTATAATTAAATTTTATTAATTTAAAACCAACTTAAGTTCTAGTAAAAAAAAGGAATTATATAGTTAATTAAATTCCATAAGGAATTAAAATTTAGTAAAAACTTAATATACATAAATAAATTCAACTTTTACTAATTTCAAAAATTAATTTAAACATAGTTTAATTATTTTAAAATCAATTTAAAATCCATTGAAAAATATGGAAAGTTATAAAAACCTTCTTGGGTTTTCTAACAATCTTATGAAACTCCCTAGTGTTTTGACCTTAACAAAAACCTCCCCTATTGTTTTGAAAAAAAGGTACAAATACCTAGGGGTGAGCATTATTCGGTTAAAACCGAAATACTGAACTGAAAATTTTGGTTTTGGTTTTTTGGTTCGGTTTTTTTGGTTTTTGGGTAATTC